CGGTGAAGAACGCCAAGACGCGCCGCACGCGAGCTGCTTCGCACGGGAACCCATCCCGGGGGCCGCCGCGACAACAGTCACAAAGGCGCGCCCGCATGGGAACGATTTCAGGGGCCGCAGCCACAGGGACCACGACCACACCGCACGAAGTCACGCTCGCACGTGGCTGATACAATCACCACAGCGATTCCCCTCTCGTCTACCCTTTTCCTGTTCTCTTTCCTCTCCTCTCTCCTCCTCTCCCTCCGGCTCGGTTCCGACGGAACAGGACGAAACAGGAGGAGGGCGAAGAGGTGTTGGAGGAGGAGGAGGAGGAGGAGGAGGAGGAGGAGGAGGAGGAGGAGGAGGAGAGGAGGAGGAGGAGGAGGAGGAGGAGGAGGAGGAGGAGGAGGAGGAGGAAGAGAAGACGGACCACCACGACGACGATAACGGTGATGGCGGTGGCTGTTGCCTCGGCGGCGGCGCGCGCGCACCAGCGCACGCTGCCAGTCGCAGCTCTGGGCTCAGAGAGGCCGCGCAACAGGTGATCTGGCAAGTTCCGCTTGCGACATCCTCGCAACTCAAGGCTCCGACATGTTGCGTGTGAGATTGTCCAACCACTTCCGCATGAGACCTTCTCCGCCCGAGATGACGCGCACGAGGTTGTCCAGCCAGTTTTGCTTGAGCTATCCTTGCAACTCCGATATGCCATGACCTGAAGTGGCTCGGCCAGCGTCGCATGAGACATCCTCGCAAGCATGGGTTCAGAGATGCCGCGCGCGACCTTTTGAAGCCAGTGTCGCTTGAGACGTCCTCGCAACTCTGGGCTCCAGTATGCCCTGACTGGAGGTGGTGCGGGCGTTCGTTCTGAAACATCGTCATATGCCGCGCGAGAGCTGGTGTGGCCAGTTTCGCTTGAGACGTCCTCGCAGCTCTGGGCCCAGATATGGTGCACACGAGGTGGTCCAGCCAGTTCCGCCTGAGGTATCCTCGCAACTCTGGGTTCTTATGTTTTGACCTGCGGTGGTCCAGCCATATTCGTCTGCGACATGCCGCGCACCAGATTATACAGTCCATTTCGCCTGAGACATCCTCGCAACTCTGGGCTCAGAGATGCCGCGCGAGAGGGGGTCCGGCCAGCTTCACCTGCGACGACGTCGCAGCTCTAGGCTTTGAGATGCCACGTGCGAGGTTGTCCAGTTAGACTCGCCTGAGATATCCTCGCAACTCTGGGCTCCGAGATTCCGCGCACGAGGTTATCCAGGCAGTTTTGCATGAGACATCATCGCAACTTCCTGGGATCCGACATACTCAGAACTTAGGTGGTCCGGCCAGCTTCGCATGAGATTTCCTCCTGAATTTATGATCAATGATGCTGCGCAAGAGGTTGTCTGGCATGTTTAGCATGAGACCTCCTCGCGATTCTGGGCTCAGAAGTACCCTGACCCGAGGTGTTCCAGGCAGTTTCACCCGAGACATCCTCACACCTCACAACTCTGGGTTCGGAGATGCCTCGCGAGAGCTGGTCTGTCCAGTTCCTCCTGAGACATCTTCGCAACACTGCGCGCTGACCACATCCTTATTGGGAACGGTACTCTCGCCTCAACGCCGGCCACATCTTTTATTGGGTATGTATGGTATTGCCGCTCGAGTGCCAGCAACATCCGTGATTGGGAATGGTAGTCTCGCTTGAGCTATGGCTACATCCCCGTCGGGGATTGGTGCCGTCGACTTCGCGCTGGCCACATCCCTCATCATTAGGCGTGGTTCTTCCGCCTCAGCGCCGGCCACATCCCTAAGTGGGTATTGTGTTGCCGCTCCAGCGCCAGCCACAATCACATGCTGGGGCGCTTATGGTATGCATCTTGGAGGGGTTGTCTGGGTTGTCCATATTTTGCCACTGGACATAACATGTCTCGCCACAGCCGGCTGCACGAAGTCAGAGATGCGCAGAAAACAAAGAAGGGGTTGTATTTCGCCAACGGTTTGAACATCTAAGCTCGAAGGATCAACCAGGCGTGCGACAACCCTAGCTTGGTGCAAGGGTGGAAGCAGAGGCGAAAAGAAGCCAGAGTGGAGCGCACTGGCAAAAGCATCAGGAAGTGAGCTACTGACTGGACAGCTCGAACTCAAAGGTCCGAGAGGCAATTTAGATGCGAATCGGCACACTGACGGACTGAAAAGGGCCACCGAAAGGGAGGCCCAGAACAGAACATCATAACAGCGGGGAAGGCAATGGGGGCGGCAAACGATGAGGAAGCTCCTAGCCAGTAGAATGAGATGTGCGACTGGACGGACACAAAAATTGCAAGAGTAAGTTGGCCAATTGTAAGACGCCAGCGGACAAACTTAGATGCACGAGCAAGGCAGGGGCAGCACGAGTAGCTCAGACTGGGGCAGCTGCTAACGTAGACGATGGGCATGGCAATGAAGAGGTTCTTGCCGACACTGTCATGGCACTCTACGATGTTTGTAGGCTTCACCTGCACCTTCGGCTGCCGTGGGGCCGCTGCTACGCGGCCCTCCACGTTGCATGTGAAGGGGAAGCCCGGATGCAGCGCAAACTGGGGCAGTTGGCATCGTGCATCGTAAACGGTGGGCCGTCGAAGCTCGCGAAAGAGCCCGAGACCTCGTTGGCGACGATGAGATTCACCTCCACCTGCTCCAACGGGGCCGCAGAACTGCAGCTCGTCATGGACTGGCGGGTGAGGTCTGCGAAAGAGCCCATCCCCGGGCAGCTGGCACCGCAGACGATGGGCATGGCGGCATGGCACCGCAGAAGCCCTTGACGTCTTGGCACTCGGTGACGCCGGTGCGTGTCATATTCACTTTCGGCATCTCTGGGGCCGCTGGATCGCAGCCCGCCGCGTTGGATTGGTAGAGACAGCCAATGAGGCCGCACAAATTGGGGCAGAAGTCGACAGCAACGATGGGAAAACGGCTGTGGAAAAGCATGGGGCCATGGCAGTTGGAGGTGCGGGTCGCCGCCACGTGGTGCAGCGATTGCGCCGCGGAGTAGCAGCCCGCGATGTTGCTGCGCTTGCATGGGTGAGCCACGAATCCATACATGTCAGAGCAGAGGTCGTCGACTACGCTGGGCAGCGGGCGGCAGTGGTGCCCAAGACCTCGAGATCGTCGGCGATTGACACCCTTTACCTGCTGCTGCGACTGGGCCGCGGAAGCACGGCCCGTCATGCTGCACTGGCAGGGGTAGCCTTAAGTCGGGTCTGTCCCACTACAGGAGGAATATTCGAAAATACTAAAAAATAGTCAGGGGGCGATTTGTTTGTTATTTTTGACCATTTGGGAATATCTTTTAGGGGTATGTTTTTTTTTCGTCCAAATCCGCCTGTAGGGGGACATGCCCGACCTAAGGGTAGCCCTCGAAGCAGTTCGGGTCTGGGCAGCGGGCGCCGCAGTCCAGACCGGGCATCTGTTGTCGTACAGGGTCTCAACGTCGCCGCCTACTCTAAATCCCTTCTTCATCGACCTCCCGCTAAAAAGCCGGCCGGACCCCCTCCAAATGCGACCTAATATTCCGGACCCCCCTTTTCGATTGGGCGCCTTGATAAACCGGACCCCTTAAGCTCCAATCCAAAGAAAGCGCCCTAATAAACCAGACGCCCCCAGTTACAAAAAAAGCGCCTTACAAAAAAGCGGACCCGCGGGACGATTAAGCGGGCGCCACGCGCCTGTGGGCGCGGCGCGCCTGAGGCCGAGCCGGTGCTGTGGTTTCCAAGGCGCGTGCGCCAGAGGGGAGGGCAGCAGCCGTGGCGGCGGCTCGGGCTTTGAGCCAGAACGGCGCGAGTCGGGAGGGGGAGGGAGGATCAGAGGAGGAAAAGGTACCCATACCGCTAATACCCTTCCCTTGTTTTCCCCTTTTGGGGCCTCCTGCGGGGCCCTCGTCGCCACCGCTGGATTCGCCTCGAACGCACCCCGGAGAGGTCCAGAGGGTAGCAGTATCGGTACCTTTTGGCCCCCAAGAGGAAGGAGGGGAGAAAAGGAGCGGGATTCGGAGTTTGATATACCTCCTACCTTGACACGTCGATGAGCGAATGGGCCGTTTGCGGTTCGCGAGAGGGCGTCGCGGCCGTCATTGTGGCGGGTCCAGGTCCGTCAGTTTCGGTCCCAGGCCGTTTTCACTAAGGGGAGGTTTACTAAATGGAGGTTTGTCCATCGCCGAGGGATGGGGGGGGAGAAAGCAAGGTGGGAGGAGGAAGGAGTGGGGAAGAACAGCAGGAAGGCTCGAGCCAGGATGGGGGAGGGAGGGAGCAGGAGGGGGGAAGGCGCAGCAGGAGGAAGGCTTTGGGAGCTTTTGGAAGGTTCTAACATCGTCTGTGGGTGAGTCGGCGGTTGCAGGGGGGCCCAGGCTGGGGACCGCATGCGAGCACGCCCACCGAGACCATAGGTGGAGCCCTCTATGGGGCGCGATCCATGTGATGGGTCCGCCAGCTGTGGGAGTGCTGCTGCCACTGCTCACACGCACGGCGCGACGTTATCGAAGAGATCCCTCGTGCGGCCCGTGCGGCTGGTTGCAGCGCTAGGCGTGGCCCTCTCCTTGCGAGTTTCCTATGGGGCGCGATCCATGTGATGGGTCCGCCAGAAGATTGGCCGGGGACCGCATGCGAGCACGCCCGCTGAGGCCGTGGGTGGAGCGACCCGTGTGAGGCGTGCGCCGACGTGGACATGCGGGCAACAGCATCAGCGGCGGCTGGCAGCGGCAGGAACAGCAACGGCAGGGAGGCGGCAACAGCAGGCAGCAGGGGGCGCAAAAGCAAGATCCATTGAACAAGGAGCGTGGGGAGATTAATGGGAGAAGGAGGCGTGCGACGCTGCCGATTGAACACACAAGCCTGCATGCTTCAAAGCAAGCGCTGCCCATCATTGGCTCAGTGTGATAACAATCGTACCAGGATGCCCAGTGCGTGCGTCCAGGACCGCGCGCAGACATGAAAATGCCAACGATGTCAGCACTGATTGCTAGAGGAACAGTGGCGATGTGATCGACGGCACAGTCATTGGTCAGAGTAGCACCACCATCACAAGGACCCAACGCCACAGGAGGATTGGGAACACATGTTCCACTCTAGCGGGACGTGTTGCAATGGCAATGACGCCAGCATTGCTCACTAGACGGACAGTGGCATCGCACCGCTTTTGCTATCAGGCCTATCAGCACTGCCAATGTGCACATCATCGCAGTCATCCGTAGCAGTTCTGGCTGAAGCACTAGGGCTCAGGTCCCGGGGCGGCCGGGCTTGTTCGCGGAATCTCTTGCGGAAAGTGTTCTTTCATGGTCATGCTGCGCGTGCCCCTGGTGATCTTCTTCCTGGTCTCGGCGTGGGCGCAAGAGCTCTCGCAGCAGGAGCTTGACCCAGTGCTTGCGGCGGACGACGAGTGCGCCTCCGACGGCGGCGAGTCCTGTGGCGTGGAGTTGCTCCAGGCTCGCGCTTCGAAGGACGTCAAGGTGGAGCTGGCGAGCTCCGCCGTGGAGGCCAATGGGGAAGGTGGCGAGCAGCTCCTGCATCACAACGCCACCGCCAACGCCACGGCCAATGCGTCGCAGCCGCCATGCGCCGGCAACAACGCGGCTTGCTGGATCGACATCGACTGCTGCTCCGCCCGCTGCTCGTCCACCCGCCGTTGCGCGCCGGTGCGCTAACTGGGCATCCTTCCTGGTCCCCACCCTTCTCGTTATCTCGCCCAGGCATGCTCGCAGCGTTCTGACTGGGGCCGCTTAGACTGTCGTCTGAAGCAGCGATTGCAGCGTCAAAAGACAGTCCGAGCAGCGCAGAAGCGGTGTGTGTGTGTGTGTGGCTCTGTGTGTGTGTGTGCGTGTCTGTGTGTGTTTCTGTGTGTGTCTGTGTGTGTCTGTATGTGTGTGTATATATATATATATGTGTGTGTGTGTGTGGGGGGGGGGGGGGGACAGGCACGGGGCGTGGAAAACAACAAATCAAGCCGAGAGCCAATTGTCGGGTCACGGCGGATTCGTGCGGCCTAAATGCGGCGGCAGCGCAGTCGTGGGCGTTCCAGGTTGAACCCCCCAGGCAGTTGGGGACCCTAGACAGCGGAGATCGTTCGAGATTGGACGGTTCACGCGATGACAGAAGCCATGGCCCACACCTTCATGACAGGGACTTGCCGCATCTACTTAAGAGGATTCACGCAATTCCGCAGACACTCGAAGGGTGGACGTAGCGAATGCAATCTGGGCTGAAGGGAATGCCCGACGAAGGGAAAGCGTAGTTTTACGCGCTGACAGAAGCCAGAGCCCATGCCGCCATGTCAGGGACCTGTCGTATCTGTTTGTCTTCAGGTAGGGCAGCACCTCGGCCGCGAGTTGCGCTTAGCCCCCCTTACATCACGACCATTTATATATGTTCCACTCTCTCTCTCACTCTCTCTGGCCTTCTGTCTCTCTCGCTCTCTTTCCCTCTCTCTCTCTCTCTCTCTTTTTCCCTCCCTTTTTGTTTTGATCTCTCTCTCTCTCTCCCTCCCTCCCTCCCTCCCTCCCTCCCCTTCCTTCCCTCCCACCAACCCTCCCTCAGTACACCGGGCTGCCGGGAGGCTACTGCACTGGCGGGCTGGGCTCTCTAGAGTGGCCGTCGGCATGGCTCACAGTGGCCGGCGGACCCCGGGCATACCCTCATGGCATCATTCTTGCTTATGTCGAAGAAGAAAAACGCCATAAAAATAAAGTTGTGGCGCTCCACGCAGCTTTCTTGGATCCGCGCTGGGCCCCCCTGGCGGCGCCTCCGGTGCCGCGCCTGGCGCGCTCCGCGCGCCAGGGAGGGGGTCCAGCGCGGATCCAAGAAATCCGCGCGGAGCGCCAACAGTTAATGTTTATGGCGGTTTTTCTTCCTCTATCATGGGCCATTGCCGTTGCGTGCCAGGCCTGAAGCATGGAGCATTCTGTGGTTGTTGGGGCGCCGTGAGGGTGGAGACTTCTGCGGGCCCGTGTTGGCCGTCGCTCCTTGGATGCTCCCCTCCGTCGGCACCTCCGATGGCTTCGCCGCCCAAGCCCGCCACCCACGCGCACGCCAAGCGGGGTGCCCCCCTGCCACGGGCGCGCCTCCCGCCATACGTGCGGGGCCGAGCTCGTTCCTTTCCTGGAGTCGGCCGTTTGTGTCTGCAGACATGGAGAGAGAGAGAGAGAGAGAAAAAGAGAGAGCGAGCGAGCGAGAGAGAGAGAGACGGAGACAGAGGCAGAAATGTAGACAGAGAGAGAGAGAGAGAGAGTGAGAGAAAGAGAGAAAGAGAGAGAGAGAGAGATATGTAGATGGTGGAAGCGATACAACGGGCAATGTGGAGAATAAGGGAATTTGAGGGGGGAGGAGGAGGAGGAGGAGGAGGAGGAGGAGGAGGAGGCGCTGCCACATGCACAGCCAGGATAACCAGAAGGATTATGAACATCAGGACAGCAAAGAGCGGGCGGATTAGGGAGACAAATAGTTGGCGAGCGATAGCACCATATTTCTCCCACGCTTGAGGAGCTGCAGGCAACCCTGCGCGGCGATGGCGTGGAATTGGCGTCACAGGATCAGCCCTTTTCCGGCCGTGCGCAGAAGCGTATCATCAGGAGGGAGGAGAAGAAGGGCAGAAGGAGAAGGAGGAGGATAGGAGAAAGAGAAGAAGGAGCAGCGCCGCCGTCGGAGGACTTGGATGCGGGGGAGGATGAGTAGAAAGCAGGGGGACAGTCGACGACAACCCAGAAGGTGTTGGCAGAAGCTGGCCAGGGGCTGCGTCAGAGCCCGCATTGCCACCTTACACAGGAAGGGCAAGGGCTTACAGTGTCACGCGAGGACGGCGAAAGTGGAGTCTGAGATGCAAATGGGGCTGCCCATGCTTCTTCTCGGATTCCTCAGCTTTCTCAGTCGCCTCCCGTTCATGCCTTCCCTTCTCCTGGCAGTGTTCCTCATCCTGCTTGTGATTCGTTTCCCTCTGCTGCTGCTGCTGCTGCTGCTGCTGCTCCTCCACCTACGTACTGCTCCCCCTCCTCCTCGCCATCATCTCTATCTGCCTCCTCCTCCGTATTCCTAAAACGCATCCCTCTTGCTCGTGCAAACTCCTAGCCGTCGCACCACCAGACGTGTCAGTACGGCAGTGCAGGCGTGTCGTTGCATATGTCCTCACAGCTTGTGGTTATCAACCTTGCTGCGTTCAGCAGCCACACGTGTGGACGGTGGCTTGCTTTCAATGTGTAGTTCTCGCCATGGCGTTGCAATTACGATTCCAAGCTTGGTCATGCTACACGGTCGAAGGGCATCTCGCAGTAGCGCCGCGCATATGTCTTTCAACAACGTCAATGGTTGTAAGCGGAGGGCGCCGTGTCTTTCAACACGTGGCTGTCGCGCTATCGCACACATGCATATCACATCAAAGATCGGGCCCATGTGACTCTAACCATCTTAGCGTATGGTAGCAGAGCCCAGAGCCCGAGTCCGCATAATGCATCTGTTGACTTGTCGCGACATGCTCTCCTTAATCATGGAGGAGCTGGCAGCACGGCTCGTACGGCTAGGGGGCCCGCGGCGCAGAACCACTAGCAGCTGAAGCAGACGGGCCAAGAGGCGCTGCAGTAGCGCCAGAGAGCCCAGCGCAGCGCCAGCGCAGAGCTGGACCGAGAGGCGCTGCCGAGGCCATGGCCGAGCAAGTGCCAGAACCTTTCTTTCAACGTCCAAGGTGGCCTGGGGATGATCGGGGAGCTGGGACGAAAGCGTGACGGCCTCTGGGCACGTCTCCTTGAGCTCCTGCTGGAGGGTGCCGCTGAGGGCGCCGTAGGGGTTGGTCTTGGCTTCGAGATCTGTCAGGCTCTCGCGCTGCAGCCCCGTATCAGTGCAATTTCTGCCTATTCTTGAAAGCGTCCTGCAGCTTGAGGCCGAGCGTGGTGTGGCGTGCCAGCTGTGGCTTGGCAGCACTGCGTGCGTTCCTGGCCGCCGTCAAGTGCCTCGCGCCTCGTCGGCCTGGGCATGGGCGGGAGCATCGGCGGCGAGTCCGTGCTTGACGAACTGGGCGACGACTCCCTCCCAGCCCTCGACCTCCGTGTCCAGGTGGTCTGGAAGCTCGGGGGTGGCCCTGTCGCCCGCTTGCCTACCCTGCTGCTTCTCACGGGCGACATGCCTGCGCTCGAGCTCCACCAGCTCGGGCCTGGCCGCAGAGTCCCCTCCTCCACCCGCCAGTGAGGGAGAGCCTCGGGCGGGGCTAGGACGAGGATAAATCCGTTCCAGAGCGTTCCGGAACGCTCTCAGAGCGTTTCGGAATGCTTTGAGAAGGCCGCGGCGCCCTAGACACCCTCCAGATCCGCCAGAGCTCAGAGATTCTCGATTTATCCTCACACGATTTTCTCCTTGTCCTCGCTCCGTGTCAGGGCCACTGCCCCAAGCACTCCACGGACGACGCGTTGGGCGGCAACCACCGTCACGACAAGGGGGAGCTTGACGTCTGGCTCGTGGGCCTTGGGCGCCCAGGGCACCGTGTCGACGGTGCACTCTGCGGCATGGAGCGGCCGCGGCGGCAGCGCGCGCGGCATGCGTCGTTGGCGGACGCCCCGCAGGCTGAGAAGCCCCAGAAAGTTGTGCAAGGCATCGCGGTTGCGCAGGGCCGAGTGGTGCCGGCAAAGGGTGATCGCGATCGCTTGAAACGGTTCGCATAGGCGCGGCCCTCCTGAGTACAGCGCGCGAGAGGGCCTCGTGAGCCCAAGGTAGCTGGAGCAGGAACAGGAGCAGGATAATGGAGTTTGTGCTTGTGCGCACATCAGTCGAAGCGAGGTTGGTGGCTTGCGGCGTGCCCTCAGTAGGCCATCCATCCCCTGTGAAGACCGTTCCCCCCACCGACGGTATGGTGGCAATAGTCGACATGACGACGTGAGTCAAGCGTTCCTTCCTTCTCAACCGCCTTGCCGAACTTGAAGCTTTGGATTGGTGGCAGGCTCCAGCTGGAGAAAGATCGAAGACGTTGTCCCCAAGCCCTGCAGCATTGTCCTGCAACATCGCCCTGCAACATTGTCAGAGCTGGCACAGCATTGCCCTGCAACTTTGTCCGTACCCCCCCTCCCAAACCTCCAACACGGTGCTTTGTAAGTAACACGATGTGCCCCCCGGGACTGTGTTTCATCACGGATCGGTTCTTTATTTCCGCGGGGCTTGACGCGGCCTCTAGTGCCCGGGCTCAAACAACTAAAGCTACTCGCGACGTCTCCCCGACGCACAGAGATCTGTCGACTGCACGTAGGAGCGACCTTTCGCCAGATTGACTTTTGGTGCGACCCAATGGGGCCACCCCCGATCGATGAATGCGATGCGATGGCAGCGGCTTGCGCGCCTGGTGGTGTCCCCGAAGAGCCTCCCCCCAATGGGCCGCGCAACAAAGGTCACTCTTGCCTAGGGTCACTCCTGCGCGTAGCCGAATCGCGTCTTCCCGTGACTGCCACTGCCCCGTCCCCGCGCCCTGGCCCCATTGTCCGCAGGAGCAGAGGGAGCTCCTCGTCGACGTTCCCCCCGCCCCCGCCTTTCTCTCGCCTGCAGTGGCCAGGGGAGCCCGGGAGAGAGTGAGGGAAGGGGGGGGGGAACGACGAGTAGAAGGAGGAGGAGGAGGAGGAGGAGGGAGCAGAAGCAGGAGAAATGGGAGGAAGACGAGGGGTGACGGCATGAGACGGAGGCGGAGGATGAGGAGGAGGAGGAGGAGCCGCAGGAAGAGGAGGAGGAGGAAGAGGAGGAGGAGGAGGAGGAGGAGGAGGAGGAGGAGGAGCAGGAGAAGCCGCAGGAGGAGGAAGAGGAGGAGGAGGAGGAGGAGGAGGAGGAGGAGGAGGAGGAGGAGGAGCAGGAGGAGCCGCAGCAGGAGGAGGAGGATTAGGAGCAGGAGCAGGAGCAGGAGCAGGAGGAGCAGAAGGAGGAAGGATTCTGGTGTTGGCCAACACCTGGCACAGGATGCCGACTCCGTCCTGCTGCTAGCCAGAACCGGCGACGGCACAGAGCGGGCCCCCGCTCGCACCCTGAAGAGACCGACGGGGTGCCCGCGAACGGGGGCACCCGCCCCCCCCACCCCCCCGCCCTTGCCGGCGGGGCGCGATCGAGACTGGCTCCTGCTGCTCGGCCCTGCACCTCACGAGGTTCTGACACTTCTCGGCGGGCCCCCCCTACGTCGGAGATCGCCCCCAGGGCCGCGTCACGGGCCTTCTCCGCGTCCTCCAGCCGGGCCCTGGAGCCGAGGCCTCCCAGAGGGGGTCCGAGCAGATGGGGTCGGATGATGGCGCCGCATCGTTGATGCATCGCAGACTCATCGTCGCAGAGGTCCACCTCTTCAGCGCCAGCCGCCTAAGGAGAGGCCCCCCTCCTTCCCGTCCCCGCTTCCCTCCTCCCCCATTGCCCTTCTTCTCCTCTTCCTCCTC